GGTTTGGTCGGGGCGCATGCATGAACGCAACAACGCCACGCCGGCACCAATGCTGAGCACAGCCCCGCCGCATGCACTCCAGCCAGTCACTTTCTTCGGCACACCCCCACGTGTCAGTCGATCCACTGCGCCTGAGCAGTGCTACAAAAATCTCTCATCAGGTAGGCGTAGGTCGTCGATCGAGGATGGGGAAGAGGGGTTGGTGAACCACATGCAGCTAGCGTATACCGGGGCAGACAGCACGGAGTTAAGCCTGAAAGATCCGAGTGAGACTGAAACGACGATGGCCGGCCGATGTGGGGGGCTCGTCGTGAACAGTCAACAAATTAGACTTGGTTAGCTAGCTAGTCTCGATCCACGATCGGTATCGCGTCAGGCGACCAACCAAGCTCCAGTGTTTAGATAGACTCTTGGCACTTCTTGCATGCCAGTGTCCCGTTTATAGTCCCCGATCGAACTACTCATAACTCACTCCAGTGCCCGGCCTAACAGTTTGGATGTGAAGTTTCCTGATGATAGTACTTGGATGGGAATGGACGAAAGATACGTCTTAACAATGTCAAGCATATGTGGCCATCAAAATCTGCATGTAAATTTATGACGTGTGATCATGGATGCGTTGGTGTTGATTCATCCCTACCAACAGATCAGCAATATCCCAACCGAAGGATCCTAAAAGGTTCTTGGCCAACAATCAAGGAGGATTTCTACGAGTTGTGCAATCACTTTCACAACAATAATCTGTGTACGAGAAGCATCAATTCTTCATTCATCACTTTAATCCCAAAGATGGATGGTGACAGAGTGTTTCAGATTATAGGTCAATTTCCCTCCTCAATTCATCAGTCAAGCTCTTTAACTAAACTGCTAGCAAATACATTACAAACTGTGATCACTAAACTAGTCCACAGAAATCAATATGGCTTCATTAAGAAAAGGACTATACAAGACTGCCTAGCTTGGTCTCTGGAGTATGTGCACCTATGTCATCATTCAAAGAAGGAAATCGTCATTCTAAAGCTAGATTTTGAGAAGGCTTTTGACAAGATGGAATACCAAGCAATGCTTACCATAATGGAGAAAAAGTGCTTTGGACAGAAATGGTTACAACGGATGCAACAAATTTGTTCTTCAGCGACCTCAGCAGTCCTCCTAAATGGAACACCAGGAAAGACTTTCAACTGTTTAAGAGGAGTGAGACAAGGTGACCCCCTCTCACCTCTCCTCTTTGTGTTAGCTGCTGACTTTCTACAGTCACTGGTGAACCGAGGCAAAGAGCTAGGGCTACTCAGCTTACCAATTCCTCTAGAAACAAACAATGACTTTCCAATAATTCAATATGCCGGCGACACATTGATCATTCTTGAGGGGGACCCAATACAGATCTTTTTTTGTAAAATCTGTCATCAACACTTTCACTGAATCTACTGGGCTGAGAGTGAATTTAAAAAAGTCCATGATGCTGTCAATCGATATGACAGAGGAAAGACTTGACCTGCTTCCTAGGACTTTTGGTTGCTCCAAAGGGTCACTGCCGTTTACATACCAAGGATTACCTCTTGGGCTAACCAAACCAAGAATGCAGGATTTCATGCCTCTTATAAACAAATGTGAAAGAAGGCTTACAAGCACAGCAAGTTTCCTGTCTCAAGCTGGCAGACTGGAGCTGACAAATGCAGTCTTAACCTCTTTGCCAACTGTCGGATACCATAAAAAGGGGTACCCTAATCAAGAATCGAAAAAAAATTGCTTAGACCTTGTAAATAACGAAACCAAAATACAATCGCAGGCAAACCCGCCACATCCGAGGCCCGGCTGGACCGCCCGGCCCACCTCGAACAAATATCCGGGCTCGACCGAGGCCCCACACCGCAAGGCCTCGGATGAGGTACTGATTCTCCGGCTCGCCCGAGGCCCCACACCGCAAGGCCTCGGACGAGGTATCGATTCTCCGACTCGCCCGAGGCCCCGGGCCACGAGGCCTCGGACAAGCACCCAGTTACCGACTCGCTCGAGGCCGCCTCGGCATCAACCCCATCACCACCGCCTTGACCGACTTCTCTGACAAGACGTCACATCCAACTAACACGTTCAACCACTCCTGCGACATCAGCCGCACGACGGCACGGTACAGCGGAGTGGCCGATGAGACGGAAGTCACATCGACCCTACGCTATTCAAGACAGGATGGGGCGGGGGTTACCGGCCGCTGTGCTCGGCGCTGTGCCCACGACTGACACCCGTGCCACACTGTGTTGCCTAACCCCTGCCCAGACATGGAAAGTCACGTCCGGGTCCCTGTAGCCTCGGAAACGACGTGCAAGGCCAACTGCTCCCTCCGAGCCTCGGCTACCCGCTTCCGGGCTCCTATAGCCTCGGGACTCGCGCCCGTCGAGCCCCCCACGACGGTCCAGCCTCTGCATCGAACTGAGCCTCGGCTCTCTACGTTGTCAGCGCTCTGGGACCAGCACGCCGCCCCCAGTACGCGCCATGCCCTGCGTCGGGCTAAAGGAGCTCCCACGTCGTGCACAGGGCCTAGCTCCTGTAGCCTCGGAATCAGCATATCCGCGCCATCGCATCAACCCGGTCTCGGCACTCCGCGCCGGTCAAACATACAGTGACCAGCACGCCTCCAACAGAAGAAGGCGCGCCTGCCACAACGGGAGCTCCCACGTTGCACAGGATCAGGCGTGACCGGCGCGTCGCTCCAGTGCACTGAGGACAAGACAGCTCCACCGACCGCGCCGCCACAGTGACAAGCTGTAGGGCTCGGACATGCCGCCCTTGCCGAAGAACGCCACGTAGCAAATATATGTACCGCCCCTGTGCCTCCCCTCGACTATAAAAGGGAGTGGCCAGGGCCACTTCTAGGCAGGAGAAAAACAAGGACAAGCCACGCACAACACTCTGTAACACGAACACTCCTTCACTGCGAGAGATCAACATCTCAAGCAACACACACTGCAATTCACAGAGACCTGGGGCTAGCTCCCTCTCTCGCCCAGCTTGTAAGCCCCTACTACAAGCACCTCGGTGCAAGGAATATAACATCACTCTCTCAGACTGGACGTAGGGCACCTATTGCCTGAACCAGTATAAACCTTGTGTCTCTTTGCATCACCATCCGGGATTAGGAATACGCAGTACACTTTCACTAGTCGGTTGAGGACCCCCGATCCAAAACACCGACACCAACCTTCTTCATGTGCACTCTAAAGCTACCCAAAAATGTCATCAAGAAGATTGACAGCTTCAGAAAGCATTGCTTATGGAGGGGAAATACATGAATGACAGAAAACCACCAAAAACAGCATAGAAGATGGCATGCATTCCAAAAGAGAAGGGTGGCTGGGGGTTAATTGACATCGAAAAACAAAATGAAGTTCTACTGCTCAAGAACTTACACAAATTCTTCAACAAAATGGACATCCCTTGGGTGCAAATGATTTGGGAAAAGCATTACAGAAATGGGAAATTACCAAACAATGTGAAAAAGGGACTTTTTGGTGCAAAGATAACCTCGATCAAGAGTCTATCTAAATTCAAAGAGCTAGCCATTATAGAATCTAAGAATGGCAGTAGTATATTTTTTTGGCAAGACAACTAGAATGGCCAACAATTGCAGATCATGGCACCAAAGCTCCTTTCCTTTGCAAAGAATAAAGCTATTACACTTCAGACAGCAGCAGCAGCTCAGGAAGGCTTCTCACAAATTTTCCATCTTCCACTTTCAGAAGAGGCCTTCATTCAAATGCAAAACCTTTTACAGCTCCTCACATACATTCAGTTAACAGAAAATAATGACTCATGGAGATATAGTTGGGGAGATAAATTTAGTTCCTCAAATGCATACAGAGCTCTAGTGGGACATCACCAAGCTCACAATGTCTACAAAGTGCTATGGAAATGCATATGCCAACCTAAGCATAAAGTGTTCTTCTGGCTCCTTCTCAAGGATAGGCTAAATACTAGGAATATCTTGAAAAGAAAGAATACGCACTTGGACTCATTCAACTGTGTATTGTGTTTACAGAACACTAAAGAGACCTGTCAGCATCTTTTCCTACAATGTCCATTTGCAAAGCAATGCTGGGAAATGATACACGTTGATATACCGCTGAATGAAACCTTTCCAGAGCTCTATGATTATCTCAAAGACATACTTCATTCGCAATTCTTCTTAACAGCAGTTGTGCTCATTTGCTGGACAATCTGGACAGCCAGAAATGACCTGATCTTCAAGGGCATCCAACCATCTCTACCGTGTGCCAGAAGACTGTTTTCTTCAGAAATGCTCTTGCTTTTGCATAGAGTTAAGCCAAGTCTTGCTAATCAGTTTAATCAATGGATTCAAACGATGGTGTAACTCATAGTTTAGAACTGATGTTTTTTGTTTCCTTCTTTGTTTCTTGAACTGCCCCTGTAAACTTTACTTTATTTTATCTTTATTTAATATATCTTATCTGTAGGGGCTTTGGCCCCTCCAGTTTCCAAAATAAAAAAATATATCCCAACCGAAGGCTTGGTCCCAGCCTCGATCACGGCATGTGCAGTAACTTTGTTCATGCTGATGATACCCTAGACATTTTATATTTAACATTTACAACTAAAATATACGGATTATCAACATCTACCCGGCAGAACCAAAACACTCATGCGATCCATATCCGGTAGTTAAATAATCACCGTATCTCATGCGATCCATATCCGGCAGGCAAATAATCACCGCATGGAGACACTGAAAGGCAAGTAAATAAAATAGAATAAAACTCACGAAATCACCAGCAGTCAAATAATCACCGCATGGAGACACTGGAAGGCAAGTAAATAAAATGGAATATCACCACGCAATGATCATGATCATGATCCAAATCTCGTTCGTCGTCATTCGCGTTGCGTGTTGACAACAAATACTTTTTTCCCAAAAAATGAATTATTGACATGTCTCATGCGGGCTAGATATTGTAAGTCTGAGTATACATGTTTTGGCAAGACAGAGCATGGATAAATTCAATTCGATGCCTAGCAATAAATTTTCAGCCTCTGAGACAACTGATGTTTGTCATAACTTTCAGGCAACAAGCTTCAAGCGTAGCTTTTATTTTAGATTCATTACGATAATGAATATGTTTCTAGACATTATCATGGTATAATACACGTGAAAAATTGAATTGATATATTCTTGATTTTGACTTGGCTAATAAATATCTCATTCAATTTATGTTGCACCCGTTACAACGCACGGGCACTTATACTGTACAAACAGAAACGCTCATATACACACACGTATCCTACAAACAAATTAACGTCACATGCATTCTATATTCATCGACAGCTACGAGAGGGATGAGACAATGAAGACTGGCAAACTGTGATTGCACCTTGAAACCACGATGCAATGCCGCAAGCACAGACGACTCAACAACTCCACCTATTTTTTTACAATTTAACCTTTTTTTTAAAAAAATTACGTTTAGCTCTCTGCAAGACTTAAACTCATCTTTGACCCTGGAGTCGGTGCCCGGACTCATGGCGCCGAGACCTGTTACCTCGGCGCCACAGATCTTGACGCCGAGATGCCTGACCGTGTACGGTAAGACATCCTATGTGGCGTTCACGTGGCGGTACCTCGATGTCAGAACACGTGGCGCTGAGCTCGGCGTCACATATCTTGACGCCGAGCTCGCGTGAGCTTGGCCCGTGCGCGCACGCACGTTCTCGCGTTAATAAATTACCTCATGCACTTCTGCTGTCTTCCCCTGCCGCATTGAAGGAAAATTTCTCTCCTTTTTCAACGCCTGCCCCTCTGTGCAGAGACTTTGGCATTTCACTTATTATCAGAAACGGGTTTCGCAGTTTTACCATCCCTCAAAGTGGTTTCCCTAGTTTGCCATTATGAAACTGGTGTAACCCGCTGAAATACATTTTGGATAGTTTTAATTCGTAGAAAAAAAAGAAGACGTCTTCTTCCATTCCTACCCCTGGCTGCTGTTATGTTCATTAGAATGGATCGAACTAAATCTGGGCAAAAATAACCGAGAACCGAGAACCGAACCGAAATAACCGGAACCGAAACCGAAGTAACCGAAACCGAAATATTCGGTCCTAGGTTTGGTTCCAGGTTCTGAAGAACCGAACTTACTACGGTTATTTCGGTTCGGTGCTTTGTTAACCAAATAACCGAACTAATCCCTCCTCGCTGGTCATCGGCACGCGCCGCCCCTTTGCCCCACGCTGGCCACGCCCTCACATCCCACCCCGCCCGCCTCACATCCCACCCCTAAACCTAATCCCTTCCCAGTCCCCACTCCCAATCTCGCCGCCGCCGCTCCCCACTCCCCTCCTCGGCTCCTCGCTACTCGCTGCCCCAATCCCCCGCTCCCACTCCCTCCCCGCCCGCTGCCAAGGCTTGAAGGCTAACCGCCTTGTGGTGGCGCATCACGCTGGAGGCGGTGTGTTTCTCGGCTGCAGCGCACACGGGGACGCGGAGACAAAGCGCTTCGGGTGGCTTAGCACGGCAGCAGCCAATCTCCCTTCCCTCCTTCTCTCAACTCTCAGATCCGGCGGCTCCGCCGCTCAAGATGGCCCCGTGCCTCCCTTTCTTTAAATCCCGCATACGACGGCAAAGACGTGAGATAGGGAGCGCGTGGTGGCGAAAGCGAGCGAGGCAAGCCGTCTGACGACGGCGAAGCCAGGCAAGCGGCGAAAGCAGAGGTAGGCGCGCCCGCAGTGAGGTGGTGCGCACCACACAGGGCCACAGGCGCAGGCGAGCAAAGAGACGTGTTTTTCGATCTGTAACCTAGAAATCGAATCGATGCTTTGTTCTTCATCGCTGCTGGAATTAGTGATTTGTGTTGCTCGATGTGCGATTCTATGATTTTTTTTCTCTGTTCCTAGCACCTCGGTTAGTTCGGTCATAACCGAAACCGAACCGATTTAACTGAAATCGAATTTGGTCGGTTCTCAAATTTCAAAAGAACCAATCGATTACTATTTGTTAAGGAACCGAATTTGTCAAAAAAATCGAAGAACCGAACCAATCGGTTTCGGTTAACCGAATGCCCAGGATGAGATCGAACACAAAACGGATCGGCCCTCTCCTCCATCCCCTGCGCTGGCCTTCCCCACGCCGCTCCCTCCCCGTGCCGGCGCGGTGCTGTTCGTCGTGGTGAAAGCGGCCGTGGTGCTGTTCGTCTCCTGCCTGCTGCATCTCGTGGTCAGGCTCTTGCTCAGGCGCGGCCGTGTTTGCGGCGGGCCGAGGCTGGTGCCGACGGTGGGGTGGACGCGGCGTGCGGTGGCGGGGAGGAGTCGGCGTTGCATAGGTAGCTGCAGCAGCTGTTCCACCTGCACGACGCCGGGCTGGACCAGGACGTCATCGACGCGCTCCCGGTGTTCCTGTACCGGGAGGTGGTGGTCGGCGCCAGCGCCGGCGCCAAGGAGCCCTTCGACTGCGCGGTGTGCCTGTGCGAGTTCGCCGGCAAGGACCGGCTGCGGCTCCTGCCACTGTGCGGGCACGCGTTCCACATCGATTGCATCGACACCTGGCTGCTCTCCAACTCCACGTGCCCGCGGTGCCGGTGCGCGCTCGGCGCCGACGCCGACGCGCTGTTCGTCGACGGGTTCGACGAGGAAGGAGGCAGGTGGAAGCACGAGGACGCCGTGCTCCCCGTGCGCCTCGACAAGTTCAAGAACCTGTCCAGGGCGGCGCCTGGCCCCATCCACGACGGCGCCGGCATTGTTACCAGGGAGGACGGCGAGACGAGCAGCAGCAGCCTGGACGCCAGGCGGTGCTACTCCATGGGCTCCTACCAGTACGTCCTCGCCGAGGCCGGCCTCCAGGTGTCCGTCCACAGGAGGCACGGCGACGGCCATGCCCCGGCCGGGGCGAGGCTCAGAGGTCTCGGCTCCAACCCCGCAGGCACCGAGACCGACAGCGGCGCCGGTACCGAGGGGAAGAGGATCGGCACGGGCAGCAAAGGCGACGGCTTCTCGGTGTCTAAGATTTGGCAGTGGCCGCGGAACGGCAAGGGGAAGCTTCCCGTACTCGCGTCACGGGGGGAGCGGCGTGGGGAAGGCCAGCGCTGGGGATGGAGGAGAGGGCCGATCCGTTTTTAGCTCGATCCGATCCGACGAGCGTAACAGTAGCCAGGGTAGGAACGAAGGAGGTGTCTTCTTCTTCTTTCAATGAATTAAAATTACTTAAAATATATTTTAGTGGATTATACCAGTTTTATAATGACAAATTAGCAAAACTTTTTGAGGGACGATAAAACTGCGAAACCCGTTTGCGATGATGGGTGAAAGTCTCCTCTGTGCGTGGGCGCTCGTCGACGTCAGGGGAGGATCAGGTGAGGCCCCGCCTGACACGGCCGCGATCAGTTCGCTGTACTGTGCCCGGGCGTGGCGTGCGTGTACTGTGCCCGGGCGTGCGTGGTGGTGGACTGCTGGTGCTGCCGACATGATTCTCGTGACATGCAATCGATCCCGTCCTGCGCCACCGCACGATGTGCTCGTTCCGTCGTTCGTTCGCCGATATTCAATCCCCTCCTTTGTTTTGTGTCGACTGTACTCCACCCTGTTTTGTTTGGTACCGTTACAAGTCAGAACGGGGACCATGGAGCAGACATGGCAACGGGTACTTCACATCGAAACTTCCTATCTCAGCCCAGCTAGCACCTTCATCCCGCCAATACATTGTACGACTCTCCACCCTCCGCCTCGTCTTTTCCTCCCTCGCTATTGCTCATCCTTTCCAGGACGCGTTAGAAGAATAGATAAATACAAAAAATCTCGTAATAATTAGAAACATCCGGCATCAAATCAAAAAGCTTAGCCATCCATAATCATTGAATCTATTTTATTTTATACAAAATTACCCACCCCTGTTATTATACTAAATAAAATCTATTTTCTAAAGAAAAAAAGAAAACTGTGGCCATACAGAAAGACCTTGATCCGCATTACAAACACGTTTGTTTCATAGTTGGTTAATATAAAATATTAGACTGGCTTATTATCACGTTGACTTAGTTAATAATATATTAATATAAAATATCAGGACCCATGACGGCTGTAACGCCGATACAGAAATCGCAGCGACACATACTCCTATTCCGTACGTACGCCCGGGCACAGTAGACGCACGACGGGCACAGTACAGCGAACTGATCGTGGCAGTGTCAGGCGGGGCCAGGCGGGGCCTCACCCTGACCCTCCCCTGACGTCGACGAGCGCCCACGCACAGAGGGGCAGGCGTTGAAAAAGGCGAGAAATCTTCCTTCGATGCGGCAGGGGAGGACAGCAGAAGTGCAGAGGCAATTTATTAACGCGAGAACGTGCGTGCGCGCACGGGCCAGGCCACACGAGCTCGGCGCCATGATGTCTGGTGTTGAGTTGGGCGCCAGATATTCTACGAGGGACTGGTCACGTGAAAGTCATCTGGGATGTTCTACTTGGGATGTTCTACTGTACATGGTCAGGTATTTTGGTGTCAAGATATGTGTGTCAAGACGTGTTATTTCGACGCCATAAATCCTGACGTGAAGGTCAAAGATAAGTTTAAATTTTTTTGTCCAAACATAATTTTTTTTTTAAAAAGTTAAATTGTAAAAAATTAGGACAACTCCACGACTGGTTGCTTATGATTTTCCGCTGCCAAACCCACATCGCAACCCCTATAAATTCTACCAAACCCACATCGCAACCCCTATAAATCCCAGCCCCTCCCTCTGGACGGAGTCGCTGCACTCACTTCACGCACCACACGACACACGTCCACACTAGAGGCCAAAACGCCGGAATAAGAGCGAGACACAGACATCGGATCGATGGCCGTCGAGGTCGTCACCTCCGAGCTGGTGCCGCCGAGCGAGCCCACGCCGCGGCGGGCGCTCTGGCTGTCCAACCTCGACCTCGCCGCGCGGAACGGCTACACCCCGACGGTCTACTTCTTCCGTCGCCGTCCCCAGGACGACCGCCCGCAGGCGAACCCGGACTTCTTCTCGGCCGACGTGCTGCGTGCGGCGCTGGCCGCTGCGCTAGTCCAGTTCTACCCCTTTGCCGGCCGCCTCCGCCGCGCGGGCCGCGACGACGACGGGCGCGCCGAGATCGACTGCAACGCCGCGGGCGCGCTCTTCGTCGTCGCGCGGTCCGCCGCCGCGCTCGAGGACTTCGACGGCTTCGCGCCGTCCAAGGCCATGAACGACACGTTCGTGCCGAAATACGACTCCACGGCCGGCCCCGACGCACCGTTGCTCCTGCTTCAGGTTGCTGCATGCGCTGACTTTTCTGCTGGTTCGAACAAATCATCACTTTTCTGGATGTAGTTTGTGCGTGCATGGCATAGCTCGAGTGAAAATTTTAATGATTATTAACCCAGTGAATGACGTGAACTGGGATAGATTACGTAATAACGAAAGAATTTGACACTTTTTGCTGAAACCGATACATAAGAATGGTTAACCCAGATGCCTGTCTCCTCCACTCGCAGGTCACCTTCTTCAGGTGCGGCGGCGTGGCGCTCGGCACGGCGATGCACCACTTCGTCATCGACGGTCGCAGCGCCTTCCACTTCATCCGGACGTGGGCCAGCATCGCCCGCGGAGACACCGCCGCCGCCGCGCCCCCGTCGCTTGACCGCACGCCCCTCCGGGCGCGCCCACTGCCGACCGTCCACTTCGACCACACGCACGAGTACGGCGGCCGCACCTCCAGGCCAGCAACGACCGGCGGCGGCAAGGCGGAGTACGCCAGCGCGATCCTCCGCGTGACCGGCGCGCAGGCCGCCGCCCTCAGCGCCCGCGCGGGCGCGGTGTCCACCTTCCGCGCGCTGGTGGGGCACGTCTGGCGGTGCGCGTGCGCGGCGCGCGCGCTGGCCCCCGACGCCGAGTCCCGCCTCTACACGATGGTGGACATGCGCGCGCGCCTGTCCCCGCCGCTGCCGGAGACCTTCTTCGGCAACGCGGTGGCGCGCACCTCGGTGTCCGCCCGCGTCGGCGACCTCCTGGCCAACCCGCTGGATTTCGGCGCGCGTCGGCTCCGCGGGGCGACGGGGCACGGGGACGAGTACGCGCGGTCGCTGCTGGACTACCTGGAGACGGCGGACCTGGCGGCGCTACCGCGCAGCGGGCTGGCCGGCACGGACCTGCGCGTGATCAGCTGGCTGGGGATGCCGTCGTACGACGCGGACTTCGGGTGGGGCGAGCCAGCGCTGCTGGCGCCGGCGCTCATGTATTACCCAGGGTTCGTGTACCTGCTGAACTGCCCCGGCAAGGGTGGTGATGTCGCCGTGGCCGCCGCGCTGGAGCCCGAGCGCATGGAGCTGTTCAAGGAGCTCTTCTACGAGGAACTGGCCATGCTGGAGTGAGCGTGAGGCAAAAGATTCATGTGTATGCTTAACGTGCACTTTATGCACCCGTTAATGTTAATATATCTATATCTATCACTATATATATATATATATATATCTAATCTATAAATATATATAATATTATATCTCTCACAGCTAAAAAGCCTAAAGAAGAGACACCCACGTCATGCGACAAAATCATCGCCTCACCTCGTTGGACGACCCCTGCGATCCCCGCCCGCTCGCCCGGTTTCACCGCGCTTTGCCCTTGCGAAGTTGCGATCCCGCGACGTAATCACGCGAGAGCACGCGCCGCCAGGTGGGAGCACCCTTCCCGCGATCGCCCAGTATCTTCGTGTGACAAAAACTCGCTACGTCCGCCTGCCGTGCGGCTGCTATACCGCGAGTCCGTACGCCGGCAGGTGGGCCTCCTCCCCGCACACGGCTAATATCACGCATGCGATCCGTGGCGTCGCCCACGTCGTCACGTTGATGGCGGTTCATATCACGCAGCCCTGCCCCCGTCGCCTCGACGCCCTTCCACGGCGACGTCTCCGTCTCGTTGATCGCAACTGGGACTGCTGCGAGGACGTCGCGGCCAGGCGGGCAGCCGGTGCGTGCGCTCGGGGGCCGGACAGGGCGTCGGCGGCCGGCCGGGCAAGCCAGCCCGCGGCGGGAGCACCAGATCCTGTCGGCCCAGTGGAAGGAGGAGACGGTGAAGACGCTGCGGCCGTCGTTGTGGCTCACGGAGGACTTTCCCCTGAACTTGTGGCTGCAGATGTTGCATCAACTTCTTACTGAATGGTCATGCTGCGACGCTTGGACACGAGCAGTAACAGATTTGCAGCAACTCTCGGTTTTTCTCGGTCCCCTATCTTTTTCTTTTCTGCAGATCCTGACTGCCTCATACCCTGAATTTAGTTCTCCAGCGTCACAGCAGGTACCCATTACGGGATCATAGCATATATGAAGCGACTGATTTTGACTACACGAACTTTGTCTGAATTCTGATAGTATTTCACACGAAAGATGTGTGCCGAGACTGGAAGCTTGCTTCTGTTCTGTGGTTGGCAGGACACGGATCTGCGACGGCAGAGGCCTGTGCGTGGCGCCGCTGTCCCCTGCCGTCGTGCAGCTATTGTCGGTCGAGGCTGCGCTCCACCACCACGACACGGCCAACACGGAGGATCACTGGCGATGCCTCGGCACTCTGTAGCCGGCCGGAGGATGCTGCCATGGTTCAGCTCGTAGACGGTAGGAGTACCAGACATCAGACATGGCTCGCAGACACGGACGGAGGATACATATTTTTTGTTTGATGTTTTCATTCTATTTAATTTAATTTCCCTTCTTCGCTGAAGCTAGCTTCTGTATGGATGATCACATCTTACTGACTCTTACATGCCAGGTACTCTGTCGTGAATCCAAATAGGTTCAGGGCTCGTGAGTTCCTGATTCGATTCCATGAGCAACAACGTGGAGACAAGTAACACATGTTTGCTATGAAACTTCTCAAGCCAATGATTTTAATTTGGTGCCACAAGGTGACTTCACATTTATGCAGATGTTACCTTTTTTCTTCTATTTTTGCACTTATTTATCTTTGAATCATTCAGCCACGCTGAGAGGACAAGAATTCTCTACCGATTCAATACAATTTTCCTTTCAAAGGTGTGCTTAGTGACTACCTAATCTTGAATATGTATTTGAAATTAACAATGTCTGCAAATTTTGTGACTACATGTTGTTTACTCGATTGATATCCCGAAAGCTAATGTTAACATTCAAATATCATCTCATGCTGGTTTGAGGCGTTAAGAAGCTAAGCATCTGGGACGTATTCTCAGGAAGGTACTGTTGGCTGCAGTCCCCTGGTTGGCTGTTGCTTACGGCGTTTGGTAGAGCTCCGGCAAAGACACCGACGCGAAGCCTGCGGCCTCGGTGTCGGGCGAGGCGGAGCCCGTCCCCAAGGGTCGGGCGAGGCGGAGCGCGTGGCCTCGGTGTCGGGCGAGGCGGAACCAGCCCTCAAAGGTCAAGCGAGGCGGAGCCGGCCCCAAGGGTCGGACGCGGCAGAGCCCGCCCCAGAGGTCGGGCGAGGCGGAGCCCACCCTCAGAGACCGGGCGAGGCGGAGCGCAAACCCAAGGGTTAGGTGAGGCGGAGCCTGCCCCCAGAGGTCGGGCGAGGCGGAGCCCGTGGCCTCAGTGTCGAGCGAGGCGGAGCCAGCCCTCAGAGGGCAGGCGTCGCCTGACCTCTGAGGCCGGGACGAGGCGGAGTCAGCCCTCAGAGGTCGGGCGAGGCGGAGGCCACGGCCTCGGTGTCGAGCGAGGCGGAGCCCGCCCCCAGAGGCCAGGCGAGGCGGAGCTTGCGCACCTGGAGGTCGGTTGGAGCTGTAGTCGTGCCCTTGACTGCTCGGATGAATCAACCTTGATGGTTATTAGCTCCTCCTCTTCGAGTACCCTAGTATTGGTCCCCGATATCTCTCTCCACGCCGGTGCTCCTCTCTCTCTCTCTCCCCACATTTTTTTACCTGGCACGTCTTCAAAAAAGTTAATTCCTTATGATCAAATTCTTGCTCAGTTTTTCTTTTTGTTTCTTGATTGAAATCCTAGGATCTGCTTCTTTGACGACTACTAGCTTGTACAGTTCTAGCTCCAATAAGCACATGATCAACGAGTCTAGGCCTTATATGCCAAAACATATCTACAGCTTAGGTTAATGTTTATTTTTTCTACAAGATGAACATTTACATATTTTTTTTAAATTAATATTTAGATTGCCTAGTATTTTACTGCATCATTACAATTTGTAGAAGTTTGATTTGCTTTTTTGAAACAAATGTTTTAGGTATTACATTTGGCCGAATGATATGTTCGATTACTTTAATTACATGTGTACAGTGCAAATGTTAATGAGGCCTCTGTTTTCAACCGCTGCTAGGAGCTTTTGTTCTTATCTGCTATTAGATTTGTTTTTTATCATATTATCATGTATATCTTTATTTTTATTTTTCTATACAGATTAACCTGCCTCATTAAAATTTGTAAAAGTTTGAAACTGTATTACAGGAGTGCACATGTATCTGCTGAAGTTTTAAAAGTTGATACTTTTGTATAGTTGTTTGTACTGACAAAACTGTTTTGTTCAGGCAGAGGGATGCTGGTGGTGTATTGCTACCGAAATCTGCTGTTAAGTTTGAGAGATATCTGATGGGTGAGGTGAGATCTTAAAGCCAAGCAGGATATAGTCTCACCACATTCTATTTTTCATGCTAAATTCTATCGGTCGGTGCTGATGTTAGTGAGGTTGAGGCTGGGAAATAGGTAGTAAGCAACATTTTGTGACTTTTCACTTATTGATGCATGCCCAAATGCTCGCTTGTGCTAACAAGAAGCATTCTGTGCTTTGCATGTGAAGTTTGTAAACTTTAGAGAACAATCTACCATATTTACTTGAGTACATTGAATGAACAATCTAATTGTACTGTAATTATTTAAATTTAAATGAATGGACTATGTTTACTTGATTAGATTGCAGGTGGTTATGTTTCTGAAACAAATACATTGTGCTAATTTGCAAGCTGCTACCATTAAGACATTGTTTGCTACTGAAATCTGCTTGTCATGCTGAAAATAAACATGCTTTATTTTTGTTTTCTATCCTTGTCTATTTTGCCCTGCAGTGGATATTGTTATCTTGTCAATTCTTACAGTTTGCATAGTCCGTTCGAATGTACTTTTACCAAAGTACAATGCTCACAATTTAGAATACTCTAACCAGTTTGAACTTGCAGGTTCTCTTCCCGGACATCAATGCTTATGAGGTAACTGACTGATTTCTTCATAACGAATTTTTTTTTGGCCTTGTCCTGTGCCCTACGTGTTCTGATTCAATCGACATAGCTGACTTAGCTCACTGTGTTGTAGGTGGACCTTGGTACCGATGAGAAGCACTGCTTCTGCCATGAGTCAGATTTGTTAGCTGTAGTTGAATGAATTTTACGATGAAAATTTCAGACTTACCTTCCAAGGCTCCAACTGCATGGACTTATCTTGCCCCTACTTTGTTGTATGCTATTTAGATGTTCGTGAATTCAGCTTCTAGATGAGTGTTAGTTACCATTGAATTTTGGCCGCCGTAAACTAGAATTATGTTAATGCCCCTTTCGATGAGGGACATCATATAGATGGATCATGAACATTCAAGTGTATTCAAGCATATGAATTCAAACTAGATTTTGATACTAAGAGTTAGAGGAGAAATCTGATTTTACTACTAGGATCATGAATTCAAATTGAGTTTTACCTCTATGTTTCATGGAGAGTTGCTTAGTCTAGAAGTAATGTGATGTCATAGCATATGTCATATACATGATACTAGAAGATTCTAAGGTGTCCTATAAGTTGTTTCTTAGGTGTCATTGAATAATATATTAGTTGTTATGTTAGTTGTCATCTAATAGGCTATTAGTTATCATATTAGGTGTATATGAGTTGTGTAAGGGCTCATAGCCTATACATAGAGGCAATGTCCTCAAGTTTTGTAACTTTTGTCTTGTATTTCCCACCATATGAATAGAACTCAGGTTTCTATCTTAAGATCTTGGACTAGATCTTGTTCTTGAGCTTTGGATTGAGCTCGTATTATCCGTGGATTCGGATTGTTGTCCGTGGATTCGGACTGCCCTTAGGGCGTTATCTACTAGCACGTTGAAGCTGTTCCTTCAACACTTTGTGCTATTTCTATATATCAACACCTTGTAGTTGATCCTCCAAAATAGTGTGCTGCATCAGATTAGTATCAGAGCCTCGTTGATCATCTCATGCTGCCATTTTCCTTGCAAGAAGGTATAGGAAAGATGGAGGAATTGGACAAGAGGATGGATGCTGCGGAAAAGCAAATTCAAGATTTACATGAAGCACTCAATAGGAGGTTTGATCAGCTAGCAGAAATGATTAGAAATCATATCCCTGCTGCTAGCACTAAAAGTAACTCATCAAAAGATAAGGTTGATAAAAAACAGCGTAAACAAGCTACTCTTGAAGCCAAGCTACAACCAAGGATTGGTGAGCATAGAAAATCACCTCATATTGATGATCTAGAAGACAAAGATCTTAGTGAACTACAGGAAGAAGATGATCTTTATGAAAATTCAAGGAGGAATGCTCGCTATGCAGGAGATACATACAAGGTGAAAGCTGAAATCCCTACTTTTAATGGCAGTGTTGATATCGAAGAATTCCTTGATTGGCTATATGAAGTTGAGACATTCTTTGATATTATGAATATTAGCCAAGATCGCAAAGTTCCTTTGGTTGCATATAAGCTGAAGGGAGGTGCTGGTGCATGGTGGCACCGTCATCAAGAAGAGCGCAGGTTGAGGGGTGAACCTCGCATAAGATATTGGCATCAAATGAAGGCACTTTTAAAGGCTAGATTTTTGCCCGCTGATTATGAGCAAATTCTTTTCACTGAATTTCAGAATTGTTCTCAAGGAAATAGGTCTGTTTCGGAATATATAGAGGAGTTTTTAAGGCTGCAAGTCAGGTGCAACCTTGCTAAAACTGAAGATCAACAAGTTGCAAGGTACATCAATGGTCTCACTGAGTTATTAGAGATCAGTTAGTCATGCAACAGATTTGGTCGATTGATCAAGCACAAACTCTAGCATTAAAAGCTGAAAGGCATGCCAAGACAAAGAAGGTAACTAAATCTCATTCATATTCTCCCATAGAAGGATCTTCAAAAGTGAAAGGATCTAACAATGCCTAGTGGGGGGATGAATAGGCGTATCTAGAAATTTACTGCAAATGCTAAGTTCAAATCTGTCAGTCAATGTCGGAAGTCCCGGCGTTTGGGTCGGAACTCCCGACGTTGTCAGAAGTTTTTGCGAAAACGTCAGCAGTTCCGACGCCTACGTGAACAACAAAAGCAGTGCCAAATTTAACTTTGCGGATAAATAATCTTACAACCTCACTTCCTAGTGGTTTGGTGAAGATGTTGGGTCCCTCCCTTGATGCCGTAATACCTCCAAACCGTAGATCGAGTCCAAACCCTAAAATAAAAATTTGGGAGACAAAGAGACAAACACATACAAGTAATCTCTAGCAATCACAACAACAAGCACACGGGACACAAGGATTTATCCCGAGGTTCGGCAACCCCACTAAGGAGCTCCTACGTCCTCATTGTTGAGGTGACCACCAAGGTCGGAGTCTTTTCCACCTCCTTGCCTCTCTCAAAGGGACCACAAAGGTCACTTGAGCTTTCCACTAAGAAATCAAAGGGTAATACAAACTTCCCAAGTCTCTTCCACAAGATGGAAGCTCTTGGGCAACACCTAGCCGGCTAGGGGCAAATCCCCAAGAGTAATAGACACAAAATCAACCGGTTTGATGAAGAAATCAAGTACTCAAGCTTGCCAAAGTGATGCTCTCACTTAATCCACTCTCCTCTCACTCAAAACCCTAAGAGAATCGAAGATTAGAGCAAAGGGGGAAGGAGAGGGGTGCTTTAGTTGCTTTGGAGCTGTTGAGCACGAAGTGGGTCAGCTGTTAATGAGTCCGTCCCAGTTAGAAGTGAAGAGAGGGGTATTTATACTCCAAGTGAAAAACTAACCGTTCAGATCTACGTCGGAAGTTCCGACGCAGATCTCGGGACTTCCAATGTTAATAGAAAACACTGTTCACACGGGGTTAGAAGTCCGCGTGAGTAAGTTAATGTCGGAACTCCCGGCAAACGTCGGGACTTCCGACGGTCGGAACTTCCGACGTACGTCGGGACTTCCGACGTGCGCAGTTAAACACCTAGCCAGCCCGCAACAGGTATCAGGACTCCCGACATGGGTCGGGAGTTCCGACGTGCACAGACAGTCGGCCAGCAGAACCACCGATGTCGGGACTCCCAGCTTGGGTCGGGACTTCCGACTATCGGGAGTTCTGACTCACGTCGGGACTTCCGACGTCCACAGTCACTGCGCAGGCTAAGTGACTAGGAGTCAGAACTTTCGGCAAGAGTCATGACTTTCGACTGTCGGGAGTTTCGGCTTAAGTCGGGACTTCCAACACCGACAGTCACAAAAAATTATTCTATGTGCTCGTGAAGTGCTAGAGTGTCTCTTTTTTTATTTTATTTTTATGCTTGAGCACTCTATCTTCCTCAGACCAACTAAGTTTGCATCCCTCTTTATAGTGCGACAGATCCTAAACTCAAAAACAAAATTAAAACCTTTGGAGAGCGTTTTGAGTTCGTCCGCCTTTACAACTTCAAGAATTGAGGGATACCATTTCATCTATATCAACTCTTTGAATCTTTCATGGGACTAATAACTGCGACATATCTCATTAAGATCACATTAGTCCCTAATTTGGATGTCATCAATACACCAAAACCCACATAGGGGGCAAATGCACTTTCAATCTCTCCCTTTTTGGTAATTAATGACAACCAACTTAGGCTTTTATAGGAATGAAAGATTTTAAAACTTTTGAACCCCAAAATTTATGAAGAGCTCCCCCTTGATGTATGCATGAATTTCAATTTCAATTAGCATCCTCTATACTTGATTTGCATACATCAAGACAAAAGCTGCCTCTAAATTTTGCAATCCGTGGGGTACAACAAGTATGTGTGAACAAATAGATATGTGTGAAAAGAAATACAATATGACATGTTATTTCACACAACAAGTAAAAGAGAATATGATGGCCAAGATTTCAAAAAGTAATTTGAAGCAACACATGGCCATCCAAAATACATTCACCATCCTAAGTAGAAACAAGTATAAGCTAATAAGATAAATAGATAACCATAACTTGTCCTACAATCATTCATCACAAACACATATAAATAGTTGTCCATCACAAGCTTGCCACGACACGACATAGTTCATACACGCTAAGGGTTTTAAAGTTCCAAAACAAAAAGACCAACTAACTTATTACAAGAGAAATCAAAGCCTAACACTCCCCCTTTGTCAACAAGTGCCAAAAGGGGTAGGCCGCATGAAAAACCAACTACTCATCCTCATAGTCATCATCATCATCTTGGTCACCGTCGTCACCGCCGTCGACGTCTTCATCATCATCATCATCCTCTATGTATTCCTCATCTTCTTCAATCGCCTTCCCCTTGCCATGCGGGCGAGAAGTGGCATCATCTTCGTACGCCGCACAAGCCTCATCATATAAAGCCAACGGATCATGGGGAGACACAAATGGCGGCGGAGGAGAAGATACAATCCCTGCGTGTTGTTCCAACCGATATAGCCTCTGTTGCATATCATGCTCATGTTGAGCACTAGCACAACACTGCCCAAACATGTATGTCATTAGGAACTTGAATTTGTTGGGCTTCTTTCTAGAGGAGGACGAAGAGAGGGGCTCGGCACTAGAAGAGCGAGCAGCAGCAGTAGGAGATGAAGCACCATGGCGAGAGCGAGAACCCGAAGCACCTTCCCCTCTAGCTTTGGTTGCATCAGCTTTCTCCCTCAGTTCTCTAGCAGCAATGATGGAGGTCTTATTGGATATCTTGAGGAGCTTTTGCTGAGTGTCATAGGGAAATCGGATGTCGGATACCTGCTCAATGACATGCATAATGTACGGTGCATAGGGAAGATGCTTTACCAGATCCTCAGTAGCATCATGTATCTTGTTCCAAATATAGCGGCTGATGGAAAACTTTTGAAACTCATCGCCAAAGCATTGAAGCACCTTTTGTGAATCATCACGAAGGTAGGTGGAGTCACCTACCTTCGGATACAAGATCTATCGCAAGATGTTGTTCAGAACATAATAGTAGGGCTTCAGAAACACTGTCTGTCCATCAGTTGTGTGACCATCAAGATACATATGTTGGTACTCCTCCAAAGCGAGATCCTCATACTCAGTCAACTCAGTAGCAGTGCGGTCGATGTGACTCAAACCAAGAAGGCGAGAGAAAGTGATGAAGTCCACCTTATAATGCTTGCCTTCAGTGGTCCAATGAATAATGTCAA